TAGTAATGTAAATTGCAATCCTTGAACTAATTTTTCGTACCGGAAGATTTAATGTGACTTGAGACTTCAAGTTTTGTCCGAACATCAAGTAACCTAAAACCGCCATTGATCCGTAGGTGATGGTGCTTGCAACGAAGCAGATAAGTAATACCTGCAATGATGGGAAAAATGGACATGGTCAGATCACTGCAAAAGATTTCAGGAACAAATAGAATCGGTTTAAAAAAATTTAATCAAAAATCAAGTTGAAGGAGACTAAACCGACAATAAGTGATATGTGAATCACGATTTAATGCATCTTTATGGTCCTCTTAAGTGTTCCTCTAGTTCTGTTTCTTATTAAAAATTTGCATCCGTTCTATCTGCGCATGTTCCATGAATTATTTAACCTCGCTTTGAAAATACTGACCTTGGAGAATTTGCTTCTGTCCTTCATGGAATTGCACAATGTGGGAAAAACTGCATGGCCACAATAGCAGAACAGATACAAGCTCACAGCAGTAGGCAATCCTCTGAAATTCAGAAGAACATCTTCTTCATGAAACCCTACACCATCAACCGCACCAATCCAAAATACGCAGGCAACCAAAAAAAGAGAAGCGAAAACTCCTCCGGCGGAAACATACGCCAACAATCCGAGACTCTTCAGCCATGTCGTTGGAAGAATTACAAGGGCAGTGAGCAAAACAAAGCATTGTTTGCCTCCGACTTTGAGGCCTGCCATCTTAAAACCCATGCTTGGGAACAACTGGTTTAAGTTGTCACCTTCTAATATTAGAAACTCAACAGCTACCAAATACAGCTCAAGGTACATAAAAATGGAGATGGCGACTCTTCCTTTCTGTCCATAAGCAGCTTCTCCAATGTCGGGATAACTCTTGATCCCCGGATTCCCGTCCATGCAACGTTGCAGAAGCAACCCAGTATACCAACAAAGAAGTGCCAACTGGAAAAGAAGGATTAAGCTCAGCCACCCTCCTTCAGAAAGTGCAAATGGAATCGATAGAATCCCAACTCCTGAAAAATTAAACAAGGTAACTAAGAATGTTTTGTGTGAAGGGGTCAGACACGCTAACTTAGTCAACTGACCTAACTCACATTTGTCGTAATTAAGAAAGTTAAAAATATGGTGTGACAGGGAGAAAAACGAGACAAATTTACCTGATAACGTGTTGAGACCATTAAAGCATGTTCTGAAAAATGTGGTGCCTCCACCTTTGGTTGGTTCCTGTGAGGGTAGGCTTTGGCTCTCAATTTTCTCTGCTTTAAGGCTGTCCATTTTTTTGTGTTGCCCACTAAAAAAACTTTGGTTCCACTGAGGAAGAAGGGGCTATCCAGTTATATAATGCAAAAAGGTGACCAAAGCTAGCGTTGCCAGAAACGATTGAATTCCAATAACAAAATCATTTGTTCCTGGAAAAAAAAAAGAAAAAAGAAAGAAAAGGGAAATGGATGGTGAGGATGAGTAGATAGCCACACAACCAAACACCAATATTTCAGTTTTCAACAAAAAAAAAAAAAAAAAACACCAATATTTAATTAAAGAGAGCATTAGGCAGCTCGTACAATCTGTGGAATTTAATTCGTGGAAAATTACACGTCTATATGCTTTCAAAAGGAAACCCACTTACATGTCACGAACTTTGCTTTAGAAGAAATTAAGCTTACTTTCCATTAGGATCCAATCTCAGAGGAGACGTATGCTCTTATTGTCATGCACTATTTGTGATATCATTAATAACTGTTTAGAACAGTGATTGACACGCGAATATAAAACTTATTTGACACTCCTCTTTTGTTATAGTCGGAGAAGTGCAAATGTCGACCAGACTTTTTAGAATGTTATATTGTAAATAGAATTTCTAGAATGCTAATAACCGTTTTCAAATTATGATTGTGTATCTTATCTTATGATAACTAATATTTTGAATATCATCACTATTTTGGTCAATATCCAATAAGTTCTCATTCTAAAATAATTACGAATAAACACATGAAAATTGCACACTTAAAATAGCCCGAAAAGCACTTTCCACGTTCATGGTCTTATCTTACATCACAATCAAACTGGAAACCATGTCTTTTTTTTTTTTCTTTTTTTCTTTTTAGAATCTCGACAATTTGAGGGAAATTTATTGATATGGAAAAAACAAGAAGTTATACCTAGTCGGGAGGGACATAAACCTTACCATGTGCTTTTCAACACTTATGTTTAAAGATAATTAAAATTGTATAACACAAAAGAATATTATAAACATGATTAGTGTACATGTTTTGAGTAAATTTTAAAGCGCAAAGAAAAACGTATGTTTTCTGTAGAAGACAACCATAACAATGGCAATTAGATAATTAGGGTTTTATTTATTTTTTTTAATTTTACCATTATTAGGGAGAATGAAGAGGGTTCGAAACTATTGAAATGATTTAGGAGAGAGAGTTTCAAACTGTGACATATGAGTGAAAACTTAACATCCTATCACTAGGATATTGAACTACATGCAAATTAATTTTCTTTCATAAGATTGGGTTGCTTTTTTTTCTCTTTTTCTTTCGGTGTTAGTAAGTAGATGCTATTGGGCACACAGGTCTTGCACTAGAGAAAGAAACCAATTTACAATATTGGTACCTATTGATGCATGATCGGGACGTATATCTGAAATGACTCATTTAAGTGATTATTTACCTTAACTAAAGATTTGAGGCTCTCTAGTTTTAAATGTGAAAAACTCACATACTTTCAACCAAAAAGGGGTCGAATTTGTATATTTATACTGAAATCATTGGAAGAAAAAAAACGTATGGAGAGTTTTGATACAAGTGATCTAAGTTTTGAGAAGGAGAGTTGAAGTCGGGTATACAAAAGAAGCATATTCGCTCTAATTAATGTAGTTACACCTGCCTCTAAAAATTAGTCCAATATTAGAGCTGCATAAGTTTTAGTTTTCTGATAGACAAGTGAACAACTCATTTAAATGTGTCGTTTCAAAGAGTCAAGACGTTATTCTTTTATTTTTCCCATGATCGATCGATGCCTAGTAGTATTGTGATCGTTTGCCTAGCATTATGTATGAAGAGAGTGGAAATACGACCTCATGAACAACGACAAAGGTGCTTCCATCCCACGTATATGCTTGCTTGTATAATTGTAAGGAAGACTTTAGAGCTATGATCGTAATCCATCACCATTAATATAGAATCATGTTTCGCTACTAAAAGGAGAGCAAGAAGTGTTGCTGAAAACCCAATCATAAATGGATATGTGTTTGAATAATTAAAATTGGAACTATAATCAGACACTTGTTCATTTGTGATTGGGTTTCATCATCACTTGTTGTTTTTTTTTAACAGCGAAGCATGATTCTTTTATATATGATCATAATCCATCACCATCTCTAAGTTTCGTAACGAATTGGTACGAATCATGAAAATATTCTAAAAATGGAAACATCAGCTAACTTCTTCCTTTGGGTTACCCAAAAAAAGGGCACACATCACATATTGTTTAGGCATGCTTAAAGACTATCTAACCTAACTGATTGCTTGGGGAAATTGTGGACATGGTTCAATGATTCTACTTTGTAGGTCAAAAGAAATTGCATGGAATATGCATTATATTATTTTCCAACCTTTTGTAAAGAATTTGAAAGCAACGTGACAAAAAACAAATACATCATATGATTAAATATTCAGGTCTAGGCATGTTTGAAAGGAGAAATAAAAAATTGTGTCCAAATTGAAGCATATTCATTTTAATTCCCATCAAAATGGTTGGATGAGAAGGGATATATTTGTATTATGTTTGACCTAGTTATATTCATATCTGGTTTCTTTACAAGAAGTTTTTCAGAGTGTAGTCAAAATACCGTTCATGTGATATTAAAATTTACTTAACTTATAACATGTGTATTTAATTTTTATTCATATTATAATACGAAGAATAATTCACCGCGTAACATGTTTCATGTACATAAACGAGGCAATAAGAATAAATTGTGTAGACGGGTGAAATTGGGTAGTCGGGTTCTGATAGCCCGATGCGGGGATCTTATTGGTGTTGATGGTATGTCCCAATACATTGCTAGGCCACACTGTGATACATTCTAGCCAAACTATGGGCTCACTAATGGGCTTCGCTCTTGTAGGATTCAGCTCACCATCCTTGAACCCCTATTTTTTTTTTTTTTTTTTTTTGAAAATCTTGACGGTACGAATGAATTGATATTAAAAAAAAAAAGTCACACTTAGTTAGAGGAAAGAAAAACCTTATTCTTTATAAAGCAAGAAAAACAAAATACAAGAAAAGAAGGAAAGACATACACCTTATCTCTCTTGAAAAAGAAAATACAAGAAAAAGAGGAAGCCCATATTTTGCCTTATTGATATATCCAACGTTTAAAGTTTATACAATAAATATTTTTGTAGAAATATAAAAAAAATAGAAAAATATATGAAAATAAGGATTGAAGTCTAAACTTCACCTCATAACACATAAACTCTTAAATTTAGGCTAAAATCGACAGATATTGTAGATATTTTTGACACATTTGTTAAATACTAGAGAAACTCGTATATTTCTTTGTCCAAACCAATGCTTGACATCTAAAGTTTCATTTTAAATTTCTATCATTTTCGTTGAAAAAGACTAATATCGATTCGATATATCCATTGATATTTCTACCGATTTGCATATGAATATTTCAACTGATACTGATATTTAAAATATTAAAAGTGTTTGAAAGATTTTTTGGTGAAAATATTTTGATAACTTTTAAACGCTGGAAGATTTTTTTGGTGAAATTTTTTTTTTTTGATAAAGTACGATATTTAGTAATTCAAAGAAAAGTATACACATACATGTCGAGGCTAGAGTGCAAAATATTTTTTTTTTAAATATTTTGGTACGGTTGTTCTTCGGTTTAATTTGTTTGTTCCATTTTTTTTTCTTTCGGTTTTCGGTTGTTCGATGGTATACAAATAAACAATCTCAAAACAAAATGAGAAACGGTCCAGCGCGGCAAACCGTAAAGAATGAGTCACAATTAGACAAGTGAACCGAACCGGGAACGGTCGGAGGATAGCTAAGGAGGGAGCGAGGAGGAGTCGGAACCTGCCTCTATAGGAAGAGGGAAAACCAAGACGTCGTTCGTTTTTCCCAGATACCAACACCTGCGACGCACAGAGGGATCGAGAGGGCGACAGTTTGATCACCGCCCTCTCCGTCTCCGATCAACCACGAGCCCCTCATTTTTTATTTTTTTACACATTTGAATTTAATTATTCATTGCGTTTCGATTGGAAACCCTCACTACGACATCATTGTTTTTGTCAAATTACCCGCGAAAATTCCTATGATTCTCGGTGCCTTTTCATGCGACGATTGAATACCCGTAAAGGGGTCAATTCGAAGCCTGCCGACGACGACGACGACGACGACAGCAATATGGATCCGGTTAAGCTCCAAATCCGACCCATCACCCGATCCAATCTCTTCTCCCGGAGCCCCAAGCACAACCCCAGATCGAGCCTCTTAATCGTCGCCTCAGTCGCCATCGCACTCGCTCTCACAGTATGCTACTTTCTCGTTTCCGCGCGAAATTCGAGAAATTTTGGTACGAAACGGTACGGGATTGTCATCGACGGCGGGAGTACGGGAAGCCGGATCCACGTATTCGGGTACGGAGTTGACGGCGGTAACAGTGCCGTGTTTGATTTTGGAAAGGACGGGTTGGCGTCGATGCGGGTCAATCCGGGGCTCTCGGCTTATGCAGAGGATCCGGAATCGGCAGGTGGGTCGCTGCGGGAGCTTGTGGAGTTTGGGAAGGGGAGGGTTCCGAAGGAGCACTGGGCGGAGACGGAGATTAGGCTTATGGCTACGGCGGGGCTTCGATTGCTTGACTTGGGTGTTCAGAATCGGATTCTGAATTCTTGTAGGAAGGTGCTTCGCAGTTCGGGGTTTAAGTTTCGTGACGAGTGGGCTTCCGTCATTACAGGTACTGTTAATTGTGAATTTATGGTGATTTTGGTATTAATTGCAATACAATTGAAGTGAAATGAATAAGCTTTGAAGCTAAATTTAGTGGCATTGTGCAAAACAAGCCGATATCGGATGCTAGGAAAGATTATTTGCCATAATGGTCATTGTAAATTGTATGTTAACTTCAAGTTTGTAGTTTTTTATTTTTCGGAATTAGTCTTCGAATCGTTATTGCTGAAAGTTCTAGTTGATTTAGGATCTGATGAAGGATTATATGCTTGGGTTGTTGCAAACCACGCTCTTGGTACTCTTGGTGGCGATCCTGCGCAAACAACTGGGATTATTGAACTTGGTGGAGCTTCTGCTCAGGTTAGGTTACTTCTATCTGCTACTCGGGAATTTGTGTTCTTTTCGGAAATATGATTAGATATCTCTTCATGCACAAGCACTAAAAAGTTAGGCCTTTTCACTTAATAGTCCTTGATAACATTGCACTTTAGAGAGAAACACTTCAAATCCAATGTTTTGGAAGGAAACCCCGCTGACTTTGAATGGGTGAATGACAACAAAGGAATTTCACAACTAAGAATTAGTTAGAACATGGCAAGTGGCTAGCTGAGTTTTTTTTTTTTTTTTCTTCCTCCAATTATACTCTTGAAGTGTTTTTTCTAATTTACTAACAAAATATCAGAGAAAAGAGTTGGAAAGAGTTATGCATGGTTCATGCGGTTGGGAATATGAGGTTCTTATTTTTTGGTTGTCTGAGAATGTTCGGTGCAATTTTATTTTAGGTGACTTTTGTTTCAAGTGAGTCAGTGCCTCCCGAGTTCTCTCGTGCAATTAAATTTGGAAATGTCACTTACAATCTCTACAGTCACAGCTTTCTTCATTTTGGCCAGGTATTCATTTAGTTCTATTAACTCTATTTAAAGTTGCCAATCAAATTGAAGCTTGAACTTTAATTTTCCTAAAGGTGTTACTTTATGGTTTGAAGTTTAAAAAGTAATTTGGTTTTGCAGAATGTTGCATATGATTCATTGAAAGAGGCTATTGTTTCAGGATACTTCGACTCAGGTCAAGATACAAGCTTTTCTTTCTGCACTGATTATATGAATGCTTTGAACCTCAAGTTATTTGACTTACTGAATTTCAATATGTTGTTGTGTGGCACCTTTGAACTGATACCTCCTTAGATACAAGTGTTGTTGTCTGTCCTGATAGGATCTGTCTATATTTGAATGCAATGGATTTGTGCTGGTTCACATTCGTTTGCATTGAATGCTACAATTGACAGTTCATATATTCTTAAAACAGAATATTAGACTGTTTGCTAGCATGGAGCATATTTATGCGGTTCTTACTCTCCCTTTTGCACAGTTATTTTGATTCCTTTATTTGATCAAATGCATATTAGCCATACTTCTTAAAGTTTCACACTTAGAATATGATTTTTTTTCTTTTTTTTTCTGAGTTTCTTCATGCTTTTCTCATTAATTCAGCTGGTAAGTCACTTCAGGAAAGAATGTCAATAGATCCTTGCACTCCTAAAGGCTACTCATATAAGATGCAGTCTTTGGAGCTTCCTCCACGTTCTTCGGTTGGGAAGAATAGACATTTATCTGCTCTACAATCAAGGGGTAACTTCTCTGAGTGCAGATCTGCTGCAAAAATTATGCTGCAGAAGGGAAAAGGTTTAGATACTCTTCTTCAATCTTTAGTGTGTTATTACATTTGCGTGACACGTTACCTTCTTTTAACACTCATTATGTCTTTACTTGGGATCAGAGAAATGCGTGTATCAACAGTGCGATATAGGATCAACCTTCATTCCTAAGCTTCGGGGAAAGTTTTTGGCTACAGAAAACTTTTTCTATACATCTAAGGTTTTTTTCTTCTCAGTACTTTATTTTTCATCAGTTTCTTCTTATTACTGCTTTTACTATCATTTTTAATGTTAAGCAAGTAAGAATTATACCCTTTCAGATTTGAAAAAAAAAATATTATTCTTCATTGCAGTTAACAGTGTTGCTTACACTCCTTTTTCTTTTTTGTCAATACTTGCTTAGTTCTTTGGTTTGTCCCCAAATGGATTTCTTTCAAATTTGATGATGGCTGGACAACAATTTTGTGGAGAAGATTGGTCAAAGATAAAGAAGAGATACCCGACAGTTGATGAAGAAGCTTTGCTGCACTATTGCTTCTCTTCCGCATATGCGGTAGCCCTACTTCATGATAGTCTTGGAATTGCTTTGGATGATGAAAGGTATTACTCATTTAACTTCAGAATTGTATATTAAGATGATGGCATACTTATACATTTGAACTTGAGCACACGAATGCGAATCTGTTTCTTATTGTTTGTCACTATTTTTTTTAATTACCAGGATCGGGTTTGCAAATCAGGTGGGAAGTATTCCACTCGATTGGGCACTGGGAGCTTTCATCTTGCAAAGTACATCTGATTTGGATGTAGGGCACTCTGATTGGCTTACCGCCATAATTGATGATGGATCTCCCACATTGCTATCAGTAATTTTTATCTTTTCAATATTAATGTTTACAGTGTGGTCACTGTCAAAGTGGAGGAAGCCACAGCTGAAGACAATTTACGATCTGGAGAAAGGGCGGTATATAGTGACTCGTGTTAGTAGATGATTGATAGCGCCTTGTAGAGGAATGCACACTCGCCATGTAGATTCAGATTGAAAGAGTGGTGCGATATGCTAAACCCAATTCACTTGAGCAGCCTCGGCTTCTTGCCCAAGGCCACCCTCTCGAGGTTACCAACCAGAAATGAGATTGTACAGTGCGGGTATCTATCTGCACAGAATTTAGAGGTAACATATTTGCGCCATAGCTACGCTTAGATCCCCATTTTGTATTCGGAGGAATCCCAGTACCTCCTATTTGTTATATCATATGAAGGTTAGGATAAAAGAACAGGGGCATGCTGGTATTGGAGAGAGATGTAGAAAGCTGTATCGTTGTATGATAATGCGGTAATGCACTTGATTTGTTCGTCACAATTGTTATTCTTGTTACTGAAGCGTGAGCTTATTTCATTGCATCAGGGTTTCTACTTTTCATGTGCTTCGTGTTATTCAATTCTCTCGTTTGGATTAACGAAAGAATTACCGGCTCCCTCGACTGTTTGTATCGCGTGAAAACCTCTTGGAACGTATATGTTCACTGGAAATTGTAGTTGTTGATGTCATTAGATCCATCTGAAGACCGAGGCTATGGTTTTTCAGAATTTCAAATTTTGGGGAAATGAACTTTCTCGTTTTCACTCGAAAACTAAGAAACCACGTAGAGCATGACCATGTTAAATGTCCGGCCCTTAAGGGGAAGCGTCACTAGATCATAAGCTAGTTGGTAAACGTAAGAGTTGCATCCCTGAAGGTCTGGTTCTTTCTCTTCCCATCCGAGCAATGCAAGTAATCGGAGTATGCCCGTGGTTATGTTGTTCCAATTGCTTTTAAAACGACGTCGTGGACTTGTAGTTTGGTTCGATGTTCTCTCCCACATGTTTATTCAATGTGGGAGAGAAACATGATAGCTCTCGTTTTCAGTCGAAAGGGTCTTGGTCTCTTTGCCGTTGCTCTTGGGCTCCAAGCCTCCAATCCCACCATTTTTGTTTGAACGAGTATCTTCTGAGCTGTATGAGTGTGACAAAAAGAACATGCAGAAGAAATTAATAATTTAATTAACTTTTTCTAGGGAAATTAATGGTCTTTTACCAATTTGAATCCGTGTGCTGCGTTATCCTATTCCTACCTAATTAATTAAATCTGACCCAAATTATACTGCCTTGTCGAAATAATTGAGTACACTGCCCAAAGTGTGTTGAAATAATTGATTAAAGCGTAGCTTCACTAGTACATTACACCTCCAATTGAACAATTTAAAGCAAAGTTTGCAAAATTTAAGACCGTGATTTTGAACCACGGAAGTTGTCTAGTGGAAATGCGATAGAATTATAAGTCAGGTTTGCTCCTTGGTCTTGGATTCGATGCACGAAGCTGTAAAAGATACAGATAATTTATTGATTGAAAGCTCTGAGAGAAAGTGTGTCATTGAACTGTGACTAGAAATGAGTTGAAATGTTTTTGGCCCTTATGCGCTCTACTGAAAATTCGTCTTAGTCTTCAGAATGTGGAATACCTCATAGTTTAGAAAACAAAAACGCATGATTTTGAAACCCTTCAAGGGTGGCAATTTTCTACAGAAGGATTGGAGCTACGTAGGCTTGAGAGTCGGCTCAAAAGACCCTTTTAGGCTTTTAACCTCATTCCAATGGTATGTTTGAGATTGTTTGCAGATGGGCTAAAACGCGCATTGACAATCAAAAGTGATTTTGGTTATTTCGTGAAAAAATTCAAAAATATTTTAAGTTAAAACCATATTTTCATCATAAAGTTCGAGAAGCATTCTTCAGGAGTTGGAACATAATATTTTTGAAAGAAAAATTAATAAAGATGACTTGAAAACGATAAGAATAAAATAAAGGGTAAAGTGAATAATATCAGGATTGATTTCTTATTGTAAAATGTGGTTTTTCATTAAAATAAACAGTACTGAGAGTTTTTCGTTAAGGTTTCTATTTTTAAATCTATAGTGTGTTTTACAATGTATTAGTTTTTGTAAATTTCCCGACACGTTCCCATATTTGCCAAATTCGGTGATGATGACGAGTCCGATGACGACGGTGGTAATTGATAAAGCAACTTCATTTGTCCAAATCAGTGTCGTCTTACATCAATTTCGGTCGTGCAGAGCGGAACCGGTCGTTTTACGCGGCTACAAAAAACCAGTAGGACGAAAATACCCCTTCTAGTCGTTCGGTGAAGTCGGGGACAAGACAGCCAGCACTATATGTAGCCATTTGGCTATTTTGGGCAAATCCAAATTAACATCCAACGGACGACTCCAATTAGAAAATTCACGAAATTCACGAAATTCCCTCTCCCTCTCTCTCTCTCTCTCTCTCTCTCTTCCTCGATTATCTTAACGCGCTTTCGATTTTCCTCTCCTACTCGGAGGTAAGATTTTTCTCCCAAATCGGAAACCTCCGATCCGCTGTCATTCCAGCGCGATCCCGGGTTTTCTAGGGCTTTTACCCCAAATTCGTTTCGTTTGGTTGGTAATTTGTGTTGGCTCAATTCGATTAGGTCCGTTTTTCTGTGCAATCGGCAATGAGTGACCACCTCGTGTTGTACGTTGACCGCCTCCTTCGGCCAATGGCAGCGCAGCCGCCTTCCGAGCCTGCTGAGGCTGGTTCTGTGCCTGAGCCGGCTGGACCGGAGCCAGAACTGGATGCCGCCGGGCCTTCTTCGAGTTCGTCATCGGAGGAGGCGGATGAGGAGGAACCGCTGATTCAGACGGCGGAGTGCCGCATTTGCCAGGATGAGGATAGCGTTAGCAATTTGGAATCTCCTTGCGCCTGTTGTGGCAGCCTCAAGGTATAAATTTGCCGTCTTTGTACGAAATTCTGGAATTTTTTGTTGAAAATGGTACGGATTTGAATTCATTTGGGTGGTTGTAGGGCATGTTTTCGATTTTGTAAATTACTGTGTAGTTTTCGGGACAGAGAGAGTATAATGAAATGTCCCCAAATGAAGGTATGAGCATATCGACATGGATGGGAGAATTTCCTAGCTAGTTATTTGAATTTTTGGAATCCATTAAGTCATTAGGACATGCCGTCTCACATTTCGTATTCAAAGAACCGGTCTTGTCCCTCCTTGTTTGCAGTTCTTTCATCAATGTTGTAAATTTGTAATTAACAGAATTGTTGCATTCCAAAATGTTGAATTTGTAAAGCATTGCTTAGTAATCATCTATTCATGTCTTCTTATCTTTGTTTTTCGTGTTTGTCTGATCGCATTGTGCGTGGTGAAATTTGTTTTACATCTGTTTATCATATGGGTCTCCAATGGATTTCTTACTGTTTTTCTAATTTGTTTTTCAGTATGCTCATAGAAAATGTGTTCAGTATTGGTGCAATGAGAAAGGGGATATAACTTGTGAAATTTGTCATCAGGTATGCTTCTTGAATTTTTCTGCATCTATTATTGGTGCTAATCTTATGTTGCACATAAGCTTTTACGTTTGATTTTCCGACTGCCTTGGTTACTGGAATTTTCATTTGTTGAAAAATGTACTCCTAATTTCCTGTTAGAATCCTTGGCCGGCTGTGCGTCATGAGGAATTAAAAACTAGTAATGAGTGGATGACAGTTGAATTTATGTGGTGACATGATAAGGGGTGGATCACCCTTGACCTTTTCCTAAATGATGTGATCCAATGGGGCCATGTTTACCTAAGAAAATTAAATTTGAGCGGGTGAATAGAAGTCATTTGTGTACATATAACTTGTAGATCTCTCATACGCATTATGCTTTTCCTGTATCCGTTTAACGCTATATAGATAGCTTACATTTTCTTCAGAATTTGGAAAAGTAGATCATGTTCTGTTTTGTATTAAGTTAGATGGAGAAGTTGTTTGAAATTGTTATTCGTCCATCTTATTTATTTTGAAAAATTTGAAATCCTTCCAAGCCATATGAAATTTCATTCCGTTCTAATACGTGGTCTTTTGCATTATGTACAGCCTTACCAACCTGGCTACACTGCACCTCCTCGTCCACCATCTGATGAAACTACTATTGAAATTGGGTGAGTCAAATTTTCTTATACATGTGTTCATGTTTTACCCAAGTGTCTGATTTATCTTGATTATCTTGGTAACTTAGCTACGTAATACTTCTGTCATGTTTATGAATAGAACTGTATAAATGGCAATCTAGATTCCTTATAGACTTATAGTTACCTTACTTATCTTTGGCTATGGGTGTTTCTTGCAGCGGTGGCTGGACACTTTCTGGCACTCCCTTGAGTTTGGATGATCCACGCATTTTGTCAATTGCAGAGGCAGAACGTCAGTTTATGGATACTGAATATGATGATTATTCTTCAAGTAGTAGTGGAGCTCCATTCTTTCGTTCAGCTGCCTTAATTGTAAGCCGATTAATTTTCAAAACTTACCGGGAAAACATTCAAAATTTTTTTCTCATATGCTTATCCTCATGTATGATGTAAATCAGCTTTGGTTTTTTATTTTGCAGTTAATGGCCCTTCTAATCTTGCGGCATGCATTGAGGGCCTCAGTTTCTGACTCCGACTCTGGGGATGACAGTGACACATCTGCCATTTTCTCTGTAAGTGGATTTGAATTTGCATTTCTACAACGCGCCTGCTGGTGCTACATTATTGAAAGAATGTGATTTGCGGTTCATTGAGGCTGATAAACTGGTCGCGCTTTGCAGCTTTTCTTGCTTAGAGCAGCTGGCTTTCTACTGCCCTGCTATATTATGGCTTGGGCCATCAGTATCTTGCAGCGTCGACAGCAAAGACAGGTCAGAATTATCTTATCCACTGTTGGGTTTTATTTTATTTTTTTTCCGGCTCTGCTCTTACCATGTTGGACTGATGTAGCTACATAATAATCACTTGGTATATTCCATAGTTATGTCGTAAAGATATAATCTTAGATTTGGAAACTGTAACATGATACATAGAATTTGTGCTTATTTTTGTCGCTCATTATTGTTCTCATCGTAATATGGAAAAACAGGAGGCCGCAGCAATGGCAGCAGCCCAAGTTGCTTTTGTTCTTCAATCCGGGCAACATAGGGGTTTACAATTTGCGGTAGCACCAGGACCCAGTGGAACTCCACATCCAGAAACTGCACATCAAGAAACTGCCTAATTTATGAAGCCAACAAAATGCCAGAGAGTTTCCGGTGCCATGGTGAGGGCGATTCAGCGGAAAGTAGTGAACAATAAATGAAAACGTTTATGTTTGTCGAAAAATATGATGGAAACAAAAAAAGTGTAAAACATTGGAGAAGAGAGAAGGCTATGTCAGTCAGGTCTGGGTTCGTTCCATCTTCGGTTGTCCTGTATTTCATGTATGTTTATGTACATTAATTTCGTCCAACCTGAGAAAGAAAGAAAAAATTTCTCCAACTTGTTGGGTAGCTCAAAGCAGTTGGTTGTTCGACTTGAATATATTTCCTCAGCTCAAGGATGTTACATAGAAAGATTGCGGCGAGGGACTTAAAACTTCTGTAGAACCTTGAGGTAAATTTGTTAGAAATGCAATATGAAAATTCGATAAACAAACTAGAAAATGATTAGATGCAATATATTTGAGTCAACTTTATGAAGCTTCTTCGTAACCGCCACATAAACTCACACTCAACATGCTAGTGGAGTGTTATTGTGTCAAACATATGTCATGCCTTGCATTATGGCGACAACTAGTAAGGCTTGTTATGACATGTATTTTTCTAACACTTTACCTACTATTTCGGAATATTTTAAATAAAAGAGGCCTAGGAAAAAATAAACCCCGGGCCTAGAATTATTTTTTTAGAAATTAGTACAAAATAGGATGCTATTCATATATGGACGTATTCTTATTAGGGGAGCGCCCAACAAGCTCTTCAAGATTAAGGTTGTGAGGATGTTGATCACCTAAATATTAACAGTGATGTCACAAAAGTTGTCGCGAATCCAAACCGTCACCAAACGTGATCTCAATCCAAGCCTAATTCAGTGAAGGGTGTCCAAGTGTGTAAAGATGGGTGTATTGAGATTTTTTTTTTTTTTTCCTTTCTAGAGAATAGACAGCGAAGGCTACCATAGATGGAGGTATAGGAATGTAGACTGAGATCGGAGGTGATTGTGGGACTAGGTTTTTGGGTTGACAACCTTTTTATTAATTATTAAACCTTTTTTTTTTTTTTTTAATTAGACTTGTATGACATATTTATGTGTCACATCAGCACATAACAGAATTTTTGATAGAATTCTGACGGAATGACGACATTTATTTGAGACACTTACTTGCGGAACTATATTGATTGATTTTCAATTTCAGATACCATTTTGATGTCTTGGGTCAATTTCAGGGACCATTTTGATTTCGCGGGTCAATTTCAAGGACCATTTTTAATTAAAAATGACTTATGGGGCCTATTTATGTACCACATCAGCACTTAACATAATTTTTAACAAAACTGTGACTAAATGACCACATTGATTTGCAACAACTATTTTCAGGAACTACATTGATCGATTTTCAATTTCAGAGACTATCTTGATGGTGAGAATCAATTTCAGGGACCATTTGTGACAAAAACCCTTTTTGAAGTTAGTAAAAAACAAGATGCTAGTCATATATGAGCGTGTTCTTACCGGTAATAACATGTTCACTGGTTGAGTAGAAAATTTACACGTGTTTTTACGTTTTTACAAATAAGAACACTTGTAAATTTTCACCTCTAATAATGAACGCGTTCTTATCGATAAAAACACGTATAAAGTTTTAGCTCTATTAATGAACATGTTCTTACCATCATTTGAAATTCTTTCTTTCAAATTCATTAGTCTGTTAGGCTTCGTAGTCCTTGATCGGTGGTTGCTCTTTTTGTTGTGCATTTTAAACAATTGAGTCTAAAGTTTGCTACTTTAAAGTCCCTCAGCCAAACATGGACTAATGAATTTGAAAGAATAGATTTGCGTTTGTAATTGAAAAAAAAAACTAAATGTGGTAGATTTGAAACAACTATACGCGAAAAAAATTTCAAATCCATTTGTTTTCTTTGTTTTATTGTCAAGTTGGGGCGTATATAAATAGTATTGTTCGGTGTTTCGGATTCGATTAGATAGATAACTAAACAAATACAGTATATATGTGTGTGTGGATGCCAGAAATAGATGTTAATTTTCAAATTTGTCCAAATTAAAAGTAGATCAATTACTTACGAACATCTTCATGACTAGCCCATCTTTTGCCTTCAACAAAGACGAGATTTGTTAGTCTGAGACCCGCTTCTTACTTCAGCACATTAAATCTAAGTTTTTCTTTTCATTTTGACGAACATATAACTAAGTTGATTATGTAAATTCCTAGATTTCGAAGTGGTCCCAATTACAAAGTGATGGATGGATGGTAGGCTTGGAGCTTTTGTGAATCCTGTTCAACGTGGTCTTGTGTTTTAATGCGATCTCTGTTGAAGGAAACCAAAGCATATAAGACTACATATATTCTCTCTCACACTGTTTGGTATGATTGTGAATCGTGATGCAGGAAGAATGATCGTAAAGTACACAAAGCAAGCATCCCTCTTTGGCATATATTTTTGGGACATTCTCTTTGTAGCTCCCAACTTTGTTTTTTGCTATTAAGCTGTCTTAATTATCCTAAATATGGGTTTATCAAGAAATTTAAGCTCCCTAACTGAATGACTTGTCACAAATTTGGGCCATTGATAACTTGTCATATAGAAGTTCTTTGAATTTTCGACTTCTCATCCGTTTACTAATACATTTATAAATAAAAACGTATGGGCTTTCACATTAGAATTCGTAATCTAATATTTAGAAATCAAGAATCATATTAGCTAGGAAGTAATTGATCTCATACTCATTCATTCTTTCATTTTCATGATTCACGACTTCCCTCATTCCAAGTAAGTAAACAATGTCGTGAGCCAGATACAAGATGAAGAATACGATTTTTAGTTGGTAGATAAAAGGAAACACTCTCTTATGCCACGTTGTGATCTAGACCAAGGACAAATCTTAGTTTTAACTTTTTCCCCAAATGACACTGAACTCATATACATTAAAAAAAAAACGAAAAACTTAATCTCCTATTTGCGTTCTCATATACAACAACGCTTCGATATTGCTCGTACTATAGTGTGGAGATATGACGATCCGAATGGAAGCTCCCTTAATTTGAGTCACACATACTTAGCTTCAACACTACCACAATAAAAAACAAGGAAAATGAAGATATCAAATCAAACACATGAAATTTGCAGGGGGCAAAGGAAATAAAGAAGGCAAAAGACGAGAAAGAAGATGGAAAATTATTGGGGAACAAAATGGGATATATCCTTTGCTTTATCTTCTTTAACTTGCTTTGGCACTCATTGCTTTGGTGGCTTATGAATGCTGTCATTGCATCGAGACCGTTATGATTGGTAGGGAGGTTTAAACTTTCATGGGACCCCCTCTCCAGTTTTAAACATGTTTATAAAGCCATAACTTTAAGACCAACCTCGAGAATCTACTAAAGCCTGCCCGATACGAAATATATTACCTCTATAATCTTTAATCTTAATTTAGTTTTAAGTTTTTGCTTTTAATAATTACTGTTAACATGATTCTTAGGGATGGGATCCACCAGCTTAGTAAGAAAATATAATGTTTTTCATAATTAATTAACTGATCTAGTTTTACCTTAGCAATGTGGTACGTAGCCGTACAGCAATCCAAAGAATCAAAAGATCCCACTCACACTATTTACCTATTTCCTAATTTGGCAAAAGCGTTTGGAGCCAACTTAGGGTTTGCAATAAGTTTTCTACGTAGACATTGATTCTGTTTTGGGATTAGGTTTTATCTAAGGAATTGTGAGGTTCCCATCTACCGTTTACTCGCACGTAAGCAATTATTCTTAGCATTTCTTGATGAATATACATTTCAAAAATTTTGGACGTCATGCATGCCTTTAAAATATAAATGGTGTAGTATCACAAAAAGAAAAATCAATTTTCAAGCAACATCAAGACTAACCTAAAGTACAAAGTTTCTAAACGTACTGATAGTCTCTCTTTGGGAATTGAGTGATATTGAGTTCTAATTTTACTTGCATTAGTAGTTAATCTCGCTTAATTTTCTACATTAAATGCGAAGTACCTAAAATATGATATTGGTGTTCGAATTGGATAAATCATTGTATATACTACTTATATATGCATGGTTGGTGATAGGAAACCCACCAAAGGAGATTTTAAAAACCTTGTGGAGAAAAAAAAAATCGACCAGAAGGCTACAATTCAGTTAGCTCTCTTTTCACTTTCATTGGTGGATAAAAAAGCAGAGAATCAGCACATTAACAAAAAACATTCGAGCCCAGATTTTATTTGACCAGTCGCCATTTATCTTAAGGCAACATGTCGCCCACCACATTGGATAAAGCACAAGAATTTATGCTTTCGAATGTTCCAAGTTGCATGTAAAACTTATGTTAATTATATAATATTCAAGAGTTGATTAAATCTCATTGGATATAAAGAAAAAGTGGTCTAAATTACATAACTGAAATGAGTCTTTTTACTAAGAAAATTGAAGAGCAGGAGTTTTTGAGCAAAGTAAAGCATAAAGAAAACACATTTAGCACCAGAACCCAAGTGTACCAGTGTTGTTTTTGTTGCATCGGGAAGAGAGCTTGGAATTCTTAAGTTTGAAGGGAGAGGGGAGATCTTAGAAATTTAGAACGGCATAAAGCAAGTGTTGTTTCTTTACATGCAATGCATGGCTTGCTTCTGCTTGCGACTGTAGTATCTGTTAGGTTTACAATGGTGTCTGCTCGGTCATATATTCCTATTAGAAAAACAAAAACATCCTTTTCTTAGTGGGAAAGGAAATGTATTTTACCATAAAACCCCCAGTGCACACCTCAGGTTAAGAAGCTTAAACCCCTTTTGTCCCAATGCACATCTCAGATTAATGAGTTAACCATCAAAATCTAACGAGTGTCAGGCCAAAAAGGGACAACAAACACGAATGAAATCTGAGATTATTTTGGAGATACACTCGTTTAGTTACAATTTACATACACAAAACTAATCACATTGCTGACACACTCTCTAATCGTAGCAAACTCTATTATTGTATGTGTGACAGACATGTATAGTAAACTGTGTTAACAATATGGTTAATTTTGTATACCAAAATAGCATAACTTTATTAAATAAGTATACATCGAAATTACAAAAGCACAGTATAGTGATGTGGCAAAGAGAGACCAGTAGACTGGATTTGGCCTTTATATTCTGAGTAGACAAAAGCAGGGCAAATGATAAGAGATGTAGGGGAGGGAACAATTGAAAAAAGATACTTGGCTTCTCAAGGGTATTGTTCAAATACCCTTTATTCATCCATGTCAG